TACTACTACTACTACTACTACTACTACTACTACTACTACTACTACTATTACTATGATTACAACCACTACAATTACAACTGCAGCTATGGATTCAAAGTCTTAGAGAGCTAGGCTACTCCCTTCATTTTACAGATGGGAAATTGAGCACCACAGAGAGGGTACAACTTGTCCAAACTTCTTCAAACAATTGATTGAACTAGGACTAGAACCCAGGTAGCCTGACTCTGCATTAGGGCTTATCTCTCTGCTAAGTAACTCACTGAGTTACTTTTCCTCCCTGGGAATCTGTAAAATGGGCATGATAATTAATGCCTTCATCACTCACCTTTCTATACTGATTCAAGGACCAAATGAAATAATGGAGGTAAATGTACCTTATAAATGCATGATGTTCTTTTCATTAGCAGTTTCTAATCTGCAAATATTTATATCCTCAATGACACACATATATAAATGCAATCTACTATTAGGCCATGTAAGTTTTCATATATTTTTCATCAGTGGCCGAGTGTCTATCGCCAAAACAGAAAAGAAAAAATTACGAATTTGCATTGGTTGTCGTTGCCAGCGGAGAGATCATCTCTTTTCATGTAATCGAAATGGCCACTTTTGTTGCTGTTGTTTGAATTATTGAGGTAATGACCTCAATTTCCCCTTTTGCTTTTGGCTGCTTGGACCCAGATCAGGTTAGTCTGTGGTCATAGGGATTTGAAGTTTAAATAGGGATGTTTAGCTTTAAATTGACAAGTGTGGGGTTTTTTTCTTTTTTCTCACATCGATTTCTAGTTCTTCCTCCAGACATCTTGCCTTGGACCCCTTGCAGTTAGATCCACTTATAGCTTTTTGATACTTTTATTGACCTGACCTGTGATTTCAACTTCTTCATGCCATCTCATCTGTTGTAATTCTTGTACCCATTGTCCTATCAATTTTCTTCAGAGCATCTAGTAATCACTTTTGTTTCATATTTCCCTTATGGCACTGTTTACTTTCCAAATCTCTAAGAAGTCTGTCTTGGTGAATTCCTTTTTCCATTTCAATCTTTCATTTCCCCCGTCCTTGTTAGCAGAAGCCCTGATCCTGTCCACACCCTAGCCCAAGTGGCTGCTTAGTTTATGTTGACTGTTTTTTTCTTCTCCCAGCAACTGACAAAAGGGCAGGAAGAGGAGGGGCAAGAGATGCAGGAATGAGATTGGCAAGAGTAACATGTTGCTTGACAGTTTGGAAATCCAGCAATATAGTAATTTGTGTTTATGGTATGTGCTCTTTGCCCTGAAACCCTGAGGGCATGCTTAAAAATGGACCCCTTAAAGGGGTTATCAGGCTGTTTCTGACTTTTAAAAAAGATCATCACCATCTTGAAATAAGTGGGCTTTGTGCAACATCTCCCCAAAGGTCAATGGAGCAAGGCCCTTGTCTGAACATGAAAAAGAAAGAAGTTTTTTTGGGAAAATGACTGTATTTTGAAAATGCCCTCATCCTCTCATCCAATGAAATTGGTCATCTGGGAAATATTAGCAGCAATAGGTGATCTCAGCTGCCACAAGGGGATAAAGTGAAAAGGACTGGAATAGAATGAAAGAGAAGAACCCATCAGAATAGCATTTATTCAGTTAATCTATCCCAATATTTACTGGAATGAAATTCATCAGGGCATTTTTGTGGTGATGCTCCCAGTAGCCTGGCCCCAACCCTGAAAGAGAGGAGGTCTACTCAGCATGTCTCCATTCAAGGGTCACACCAAGAAGAATGTCATTATAGTATTTCAGTCTAGAAGATGATGGGAAGATGAGCTTTGCATTTGACTGAAGAGGTCACGATCTCCTTGGCAGTCATGGATGGGAAAACCACCAAGGAATTAATACAAGGCTATGATGAGACTGTTTTCCACGCTCTGCAGATTCTCTAAGACCATGCCATGTCATTTGCTGAAGAAGGGAGGGGAGAAAACTGATATTTCCTGTATTTTACAAATGGAGGAACTAAAGTCCACACAGGTTAAGTAATTGACTTGAATTTACAAAATTTTTCAGTGACAACCTCTTCTTGACAACTTCCTTGAAAAGGGGGTGATAATTGCCAGATAAAGTTAACAATGGTGATTGTGTCCAGAGATTACTTTTTGAATAATTACCCAACCATTGTTTTCTTAAAGGGCTGGAACTTTAACTTTCCAAGGAAAAACCTTGGGTACCTGTCACTAGCACACCCAATATGGGTTGACTTGCCTTTATGAAGAAGTCTAATTGAGAAAGAGATTAGTGCAGAACCTAGAACATCTAAATTAACAAACGATAATAAAAATCTCATGTTTACATAGCATTTTAAAGATGACATAAAATGTTCCTAATAAAATCCATAAGTTAGGTACTGCAAATATTTTTTATTCCCATTTTATAGATAAAAAAGGTGAGGTCCAGAGACATCACATATTTTGCCTAAAATTTCTGAGTCAGTATTCAAACCCAGGTTTTCCTGGCTCCAGTTCAGCCTTTTCCTGTCGGTGGCCATGCCACAAACTAGCAAGTCTCTTAACCTCTAGAAACCTTCTCTTCTATTTCTGTAAAATGAGGGAATTGGACTAGATCAGGGGTGAGGAACCTGTGCCCTTAAAGCCACATGTAGCCTTCTAGGTCCTCAAGTGCGGTCTTTTGACTGAATCCAAATTTCACAGAACAAATCCAAATTTTAGGCCACATGTTCCTCACACCTGGACTAGATGATCTTTAGGGTTCTTTTGGCCCTGTCTGAGAACTGGAGGGAGTTCTCATGAGCCTGACCCTCAATAAAATAAACTGGCTGAGGGCAGGAAGGAACCATTGTCCTATTCCCCACAATACCTAAGAGGAACAATTTTGTACAGACTAAGTGCTCAGCAAAAGTTTGTTGAATTGCCTGCCCTTCATTCAAATGCCTAGAACCCATGGAGACCACTCCAAGTTGCTGGTAGAGGTGACTGCGTCTGCTGCAAGCCTTTAGCCTGGCCCCTGCCCATAGACGAGGCAATTGCAAAAGCAGATTCTCTCTTTTCTTGACTATAATGTAATAATTGCTCATATTTCTTTAGTTCATAGTTTACAAAGCACTTACCACATAACAACCCTGTGAGGTAGGTTGGAATGTTATTACCCCATTTTACAGATTGGGAAACTGAAGTCTCCCAGCCATAATTGGCAGAGCCAGGATTTGGACCTAGGTCTTCGTACTCCATGTCCACTTCTCTTTCATGGAATTTATGGCCAAATTTAGTAGAAATAGCACTGCCTTTTCCTCTTTTTCCTGGAACATGCCTAACTACTCTTGTAGGGCGTCTCTCAAGTTAAGTCTTATGATTTCTGCCCTTTGATATGTTATGTTGTAAGTTTCCATTGTCTATGAGCATATGGAGTTTACTCAACTAGACCGTAAACTCCCAGGGCAGAGACTATGTCTTTTACTTTACGTAAATATCAATAAAATTGAAAGAATATAGAACTTGGAGTCAGAAGACTTTAGCTCCAGCTGTGACACTTACTAGCTTAGTAGGCTCTGTGGTCAGACAAAAGGATCCCTCAGGTCTCACGTGATTCTTTTTTTGGGGGGGGCAATTGGGGTTAAGTGACTTGCCCAGGGTCACACAGCTAGTAAGTGTCAAGTGTTTGGTCTGAGGCCAGGTTTGAACTCGGGTCCTCCTGACTTCAGGGCCAGTGCTCTATCCACTGTGCCACCTACCTGCCCTGTCTCACGTGATTCTAAGGCTCCTAGGATTGTTAACAAGTTCACCCCCTCATTAGTTTTCTCACCTGCAGAGTATTTATAACAATTTTTTGTAATTTGGTTTTGAGGAAAGCAAAACCTGAAGAATTATGTGAGTGTGAGCTCTCATAGATTATTGGGTTTTTGGCAGTAGAACAATGGTGAGTGGTCATCTGAAATGAAAACCACAGCTGATTATTTATATGTAGCCCTTTAAGGTTTGCAAAGCAATTTACATATACTTTCTTTTGGTTTTCACTACAACCCTGTAAGGAAGGAACTCTTATCCCCATTTTATAGACAAAGAAACTGAGGCAGAGGGAAGTTAAGTGACTCATAGTCAAACTGCTAATGAGCTGTCCTAGTTGGCTGACTCCACTCTATCCAGTAGACCAAACTGTCTCACATTAGATAGAAATCTTTTCTTATGTGCTCCATGGATTGTTCCCTTCACCATGTTCTACATTTGCTAGTGGAATTAGAACAAGAGCTAGTTTCTGTAAATCCTAGCTGAGCTTCATTCCTTCTAGAAAGAGCAAATGAAAGGACCAGAGGTGAAAACAGACAGCAAAGATGGCAAGAGAGAGGATATCTTTTTTTCTAAGCCTTGTTTACTTGGGCATATTTCTATAACATTCTCTTGTGAGAGTGCAAGTTGTAAGAAAATATAGTGGGCCCCAACTGCTGATCCCTCCTGTCATATGGCCCCTCCCCAACTTGGGCTGTGTCTCCTTTGCTGTAGAAAAGGAAAGGTGAGATCAGCTGGCTTCTGCACAGAATGATTCTGCTTCAACAACAGACCACCGGATGATTAAAGAGCTATTAATAGCGAGTGTTATGGCTTCAAATTGCTTTGATATACTTCTTATTTGATCTCATAATATAATCGTATTTTATAAAGCACTTCCCACACAACAACCCTGTGAGGTAGGTTGCAATGGTGTTGCCCCATTTTACGGACTGGAAAATCACGGCTCCGACATGTTATACAGCCCTAAGTGGCAGAGCCAGGATGAGTAGAAATAACACTGCCATTCCATCCTCCCTCACAATACCCTCATGACATAGGTAATGCAAGTATTAGTCCCATTTCACAGGCAAGGAAACCAATACTCAAGAGAAATCCAGTGACTTGCCTTAAGTCACGTAACCACGGGTGGCAGATCTCAAATTTGAATTCTAAGTCCTCTTGGTTGAAAGTCAAGTGTTCTTTTTGCTATCTTTCCTGCCCTGCCAGGACTAAATGAGCACCTTGATTTTACTTTTTCAATTACTTAAACTTATAATTTTAAGCAATTAAGTATCTTTTTAAAATTGTCTTTCTATTTCAGGACAAATGACCAGCTACTCCAAATCAATGAATATTTGATCAGGAGGGAAGAGAATTTATTCAGGTGTAAATAGCTCTTAATTGACTGATATGCTGTCCCCTCTTCTTCAGGTTACTCCAGGCAGCAAAGCAGCACTGGCTAATGTATGTATTGGAGATGTTATCTTGGCCATTGATGGAGAAAATACCAGCAACATGACTCATTTGGAAGCCCAGAATAAAATCAAGAGCTGCATAGATGACATAACCCTCACAGTGGGCAGGTAAAGCCTAGAAACAAATAGAATTTGCCATTCATTTCACAGAAGTGTTGTAAGTTTTAATGCCAATATTCTTTCCACACATTTCCATCTCCCACTATGTGCCAGGTATACAAAGATTTTAAAAAATGACTGGGCACTTGCCTTCAGAGAACTTACATCCTAGCGGAAGGGGTATCATATTGGAGGGTAGGGGATAATCCATGTATACACATCTGAATTATACAAAATGTAGTGTGACAGGGACAAAGCAAAGAGCCAGATAAAGTGCTCTGGGAAGACAAGAAGTGGGAGAGAACCTTCTGAGCTGAGGAGCCCTTATGGCCTGGGAATCATGCCTCGCTTTGGACAACATGGCCTCCAAATGCCCTACTAACTGAGTTTTCATGATTCTTTCTGTCCGTGATACTAACATTTGCACATTTATAGAACTTGTCATTAGGAAGTAAAATTGACATAATTCAGAGACTCCTTTGCTGCTTTTTGGGTATAATTCTAGTAGCTTGCAATTCTACTTTACTATTTTATAATTTATAAAGAGTTTTTATATAGTTAATACAATTATCATCATTCCCTTTGAACAGAGAATAGAATGGAGCCTTAGGAAGATTAAGTCACTTGCCTTTCTAGAGGAAAAAGAGGGAAGGTAGGACTCAAAGCCAGGTCTTCTGAGTCCAAACTGTTCTCACTATATCTTACTGCCCTTGACTCTTGTCATCCTAAAGCCCACCAATTATCTGCCCATGGTTTCTCAGGATCACCAGCAAGGCCAGAAGCTTAGTGTGATAGGAACAATACTGAAATAAACCAGAACATGGAACAAATATTGTCTGTCACTTTCAACATTTTCATTAAGTTCAAGTCTGGTGGTAAATGTACTTATAACGTAGAGAGTGAGAAGAGACTCATGGGAGTTGCATATGGGATAGTGGTTTGCTCCATGCTCCATTTCATCTGGGAAAGATTCATAGGGATGTGGAATTTTAGGAGCTGATAGAATCACAGGCTGTTAGAGCTGGAAGGGACCTTTGTGGCCAAACATCCATTCTCGTTTTACAGTTGGGATATCCAAGTCCCAGAAGAGGAGGAGGAGTCTGCCTAAGGTCAGACAATAATGACGTGTGCTTTCCCATATTCTGGATTCTTGTATCATTAACATTAACTTGAAACTGCCTCTGGTTGTCTCATGTGTATTAGTACTATCCTATTCAACTAGAGTTGAAGGCCTTGAGAATAGATTTCCTGTATCTTCTACAACAGGAATGGGAAAACTGTTCTCCTATTGAGAGTCCACTGATGTAGAAAGAAAGAAAAAAAAACCAGTTGTAAGCCACTTAAGTAAAGAGCAACTTAATTTAGTTGTGGAGTAGAGGGAGAGAAAGATAAATTGTTTGAGAAAGAGGGAAATGTATTTCACCAATTTCTTTCTTTTTGGAGGTAATTGAGGTCACAGGGTCACACAGCTAGTAAGTGAGGCCTGATTTGAACTCAGGTCCTCCTGACTGTAGGGCTGGTACTCTATCCATTGTGCCACGTAGCTGCCCCGATTTTACCAGCTTCTAAAATTAAGAGTGGGTATAGCCCAAAGTGATCAAAGAAAGAGAAAAGGGAACCACACATACAAAAATACTTATACCAGCTATTTTTGCAATGGCAAAGAATTGGAAATTCAGGGGGTGCCCATCAATTTTGGGAATGGCTAAACAAGTTGTAGTATATGAATGTGAAGGAATTTCACTGGGTTGTAAAAAATGATGAAGGGGACTTTGAGAGAAACCTGAGAAGATTTATATGAACTGATAAAAAATGAAATGAACAGAAGCAGAACAATTTAGCAACAGCAAAGACAAACAACTTTGAAAGACTTAGGAACTTGGATTAACACAATAACCAATCATGATTCTAGGATACTCAAGATGAAACATACTATTCACCTCCAGATAGAGAGGTGAAGAACTCAGGGTGCAAACTGGGGCATTGTTTTTGGACGTGACCAATTCAGAAATTTGTTTCTCTTGATTATGCATTTTGTAACATATTTGTTGTTATTGTTGTTGTTTTCTTTGCTTATCAATTGGGGCTTGGGGAATGGAGGTGAGAGGGGGAGAAGGTGGATCTTCATTTGAAAAAAAAATTTAATTTAAAAAATAAAGTAAAATGAAGACCAGGGAACATAAAACCAATTCAATTGATGGCATAAATAATAAAAACGTATTTCAGTTCTGTGATTTTATAAAGTGTTTTAAAGTTTGCAAAGAGCTTTACATATAACTGGTCCTCACAACAGTCTTGTGGGGTAAGTGCTACAAATAGTATTATTATTTCCATTTTAAAGGTTAGGAAACCAGGCCACAGAGAGAGAGCAAGGCTTCAGGTCACCCAACCAGTGATTGGCAGAAGTGGTATTTGAACCTGAGTTTTCCTGACTTCAAGTCTTTCTACTGTACTACAGCCGTCCCCTGTGTTATGGCTAATTAAGGGAGAGAGGTGGAGTGAAATGGGAAAAAGAGGGTAGAAAGATACACATCAGGAAGTTACAGTGAGGTAGACAGGTACAAGCAAAACAGATGAAGAGATCTCTAAAAACAAACATTTTTTAAAGCAGGCAGTCTCTTGCCAAGGAATTTAATTCCTACCTAAAGTATAGGATCATAAATATTTAGGGAATCTCTACATTTTCTTTGGCAATAAACTCTTAGGTTCTGTCTCTGGCAAGTAGGTAGATTTATGCCTTACTTAGGAATGATGGTTTGCTTTCATAGTCCATCACCATCATTTTGGTCTTTTTGAGGATATTGGCACTTTTAAGACTTCTAAGACTGCTATTTAAACAAATAAGCATCTGCCTACTCAAAATTCTGCATCTTTATTGTGTTTTTGCAACTACAGGCATTAATAAACTGTGTTTATCACCTCCTGGTACTTGTTTCAAGAGTCAGATGAAATTAGGCTGAGCCAGTTTGATCCATAGACCATAGCACTCCTCCCAATAGTATTAGTATAGGCAGCACTAAGCACAAAATACTTACTTAAATGCATTTATTATGAAGTTCCTTGGGTCAGCTACTTTTTTGACAAATAGTCCTTACTCACAATGATTACTTATATATTTTAAAGGCTAGCTTTGGAATTGATGCTTTGTTTTTGCCACAATTAGAATTTTACCTCTCTGTGTGACCCTGGGCAAGTCACTTAACCTGTGTTTGCCTCAGTTTCCTCAACTGTAAATTGGAGATAATAACAACACCTACATTGAAGGGTTTGTAATAAGGATCAGTGAGATGATGTTTGCAAAGCATTTAGCACAGTGCCAAGTACTAAGCGTTATATAAATGCTTGCCCCCTCCCTTCCCTGTTTCTGTCTCTCTCTCACTGAGAAGTTTATTTCTGCTAGTCTCTACTTTTTACTTAATCCTGTGGTTGAAATAATTCTGTCTGTTGCAGGAGTGAACATAAAATCTGGTCTCCCCTTGTGACAGAGGAAGGGAAACGCCATCCATACAAAATGAATTTAGCTTCTGAACCCCAAGTAAGTAGCAATTCTTTATCACTCTCTAGTCTCTTTTCCATATTTTTAAAGCAACAGCAGAATTCAATGCAATAAACATATGTTAGGCATCTACTGTGTATAAAGTACTCTTTTATGTCTGGAGGATACAAAGGTGAAATCAAAATTGTCCCCACCCTTGAGGAATTGATATTCTATTGATGTAATCTGACTATATTCTATTACCCCAGGGGTACTAAGATAGTAGTGCTCCTGAACTGTTTCTTACAAGAAGATCACCCCAGGGGCAATCTGGTGTTTTATCTTGTTCTTCCATTTTGTAAGCTGAACAATCTGGTGTTTGTCTTGTTCTTTCATTTTGGAAACTGAGGACTCAGACCTGTAAAGGACCAAGGGAGTACGATTTCATTTTTACAACCTGCTCATTTTATAGATACAGAACCAGAAGCCCAGAGAGGGCAAGCAACTTGCCGGAGGTCACACAGTAAGGTAGTTTCAGAGCAGGGAATAGACCCTGAGTCTGCTGAATCCTCACCTTCAGATTTCTTGCCCCTGTAACTCCTGTCTTAGGGATGCATGGAAAACAGGAAAGGTGACTGTGGGACCAGAAAGAGGTAGAGGAGACTGCAGAAAAGAAAGCAGTGAGACACACACCAAGTTACAGATAGACAGACACAAGCAAAACACAGATTGGTTTAAGCATAGGTAATAGGGAAAACTTACTAATTATTTCTTAGGGAAGTTAATGAACCTAGCACAATAAAGGACAGGCCAATATTAACTAGATTTCAGGTAAAATAATTCATGACAGTTCTAGGGAAAAAACAGAATAATGGCTCGCATTTCCATAGCATTTTGAGGTTTCCAAAGTGATTTCATCAGAAACAAACTGTGAGAGAAGTGGGAAACTGAGGCTCAGAAACATTAAGTGACTTTCCCATGATATTAACTGGCAGTAAGCAATTTTCTCCAACACTTATTTCCTCATCCCCGATCCAGCGCTTTTTCCATGCTGTGGGCCAGAGGCTCAGGACTGGTACAAAATAATAAGGGTGAGATTTCTAAATATCTCATTATTTTATATATTTGAGCTGGAAGGGACCTCAGAGTGAGTCATCTAGTCCAGCCGCTTCATTTTAAAGACCTTTGTAAGGTCACATGGGTAGTAAGTGGCTGCTCAGGGCCTTGAACTAAGGTCCTCTGGCTCTAAACCCAGGGCCTTTCCCCTGAGCCTTCTGTCTCACTGTGGCTTAATTAATCCCTTGATAAAAATGAAATTTTTAAAAGATCAATGAATCAGGTCTCCAAATGAATCCGGTTAAAGAATAGTAGTCTATCATGTCCATATTTTGTACCTAGACGACAGAATAGAAATATTTTCTTTTGTTTTCCATCTTATAAGAAAGCATTCCCCTCCCTCTCTGCCTTCTTTCCTCCTCTTCTGGGAACTTGTTTCTCGTTTGGACTGGTTCTCCCATCTGTTAGAGCAGATGTCAGCTCAGGACAGTGAGGCCATCTGGACAATGGTCATGCCCTCTGCCTCCAATCGCTTTTCCTATTATTATTGTTGTTGTTGTTGTTCATGAGAATCTTGATGGAAGAGGCTATATATTTGTTATAGGCAAATATTTGTGTTTCTGGTGAGCCGCTGAAAGACTTGGGTAATTTCTGGAAAGAGCCGTAGTTAATATTGGCAAATATCAACAAGGTTGGTGCAGACTTTGTGAGGCAAGTGCTCTTTTCTTCAGAGAGCGATTTGTGAAAACTAATTTACAAACTTGTTTGGTCAGGTTAACTCCAATTGTGAAGATTATGAAATTTCATTTAGTATTAGTGAACATTCCGGCTAGTGCTTAGCAGCGCATCCAGGTATTAGTGAATTGCAAAATGCTGCTATCTCTTATCAGCCAGGTCATTACTACCCGTGTTAACCTTGCTTTAAACATTAATTACATTCCTGAAAAGCAGCATGAGGAAAATGAGTATTCAGTATCAGATTTTCCCTTTGATTTGCATTATTTAAGAAATCATCTCCTACAGGAAAAATATTAGCCCCAGCAGGTAATAAAAATTGCACTTGAGGATTCCCATATTCTCTTTAAGGATCATTCTACTTCTTTGACT